GGTGAGACCGCAGGCTGTCTATTTCAAGCCAACTATGTCTAACTTATTTTTGGAAATACATTTTGTTTTACATTTAAGTTGCTTATCGTGTCTATTGAAATGCAGACTGTGAAACCACTGTTCAAGATGAGAAAAAGGCAAAACAAGCAGCTTAATAGAGGACAGTTTCCTGCTGTGATGCTCGATTTACCTTCTTCTTATGCTCTATATAGCTAATCTAGGAGGTGTAATGATCGAGACGCAAGCATCAGTATTGCTTTGAAATAAAGCACGCTTTCAAGTTGGCTGTAGACATATGATACACTGATACACATACACACTTTACAAACACAGAAACGTACACAAACACACATACAAATGTGAATTTTTCTTTCTTTTTTTTCATGGCATTCTAGAAGACTTATGGAAAAGAACAGATACGTTGTGTTCTTGTGGGGAATATATTAAAATGATATGATAGATTTTATACACTAATACATAGCCATATGACAAATTAATGTTGTTCACTAATTATATATATATATATAGAGAGAGAGAGACAGTGCACTAAAGTTGTTCAGCATGAAGTAATTAGCTAAAAGTGCATGAGTCCTAATTAAAGTGCTAGACTTCATTAAGTGCATAATTCACTGTAAAAGAGCTAGACTGTATAAAGTGCATACGTAGTTTAAAGTGCCAAACTACAAAAAGTGCGATCTATTTTTAAAGTGCAATCAATTTATAGAATTAAGATATAAAACTGTGTTTAATTAGTGCAAAGTTTACACCTTTCAGCGAGCCAGTAACTAGGATAATCAACAAATATAATTGTGACGAACTGAGCCTCGTCACGTGTTCTTGGAGGGGCCTGTTTGCCAGCCTCCTGGCTCAGGACTATGGGCCATGCAAAAAAGCTCATAAAAGACCTTGTTCATGCCTTTTTACTATTCTGTTCAGTAGATTACATTCATCTCCTATTCTAACAATGTCCCGTTCGACTACCGAACAACGGCATGAACCAGGGACCACCCGGGAGCTTGTTAACACCTATTAACACCTTGGAATGGTTCTCACCACAGTGTTCTAATTGTTCGTCTGGGTGGCCGCAATTTCTATGGACAACCACGAGGTGGCGGCCATCATGTTCGCATGAACGCAGGGAGTGGTGTTTGGGCATGAATCTCATGGAACTAAAATTGGACACAGAAACTCATGAACACCGCTGGACTTCCATCATAGCATGCGTTCGGTTCTATACAATTTAGAAGGGCACTGTTCGGGGAAATCATTCATCTCCAGGGTAAGACTATTGACTCTGTTCGGTAGTTTGTTCATTTTTAAACTATCGAACTAGACCAACCACAAGCCCTGATTCTTTGGAACTGTTTTGGGCGTGGGACCATGCGGGCGGTCGGTCAAAATTAAGACTTCCAGGTAAATATATACAAAGTGGTGTATTTCTTGTCAATTTAGAACAAACAAAACTATAAGCCAAATTAATGTACTCAAACTGTTTTCAATTAGTGTTTCAGAAGCAAATAGGTGCTCACTGATTAGATTTCTCTTGGGTCCAAGGGTATGTAAGATATTATTGGAGTCCTCTAATCATCTTCAAAATATATCGATTGGTACTAATATGTGAAGATACTTTGTGCAACTACCTTGGTATTTACCCTGTCTCCAAGGACTCTTGGTAATTTGCCCATTGTGTCTAGGGCGACCGGGACCAAGTGCTTAAGGTTCCTATTAGGTGCCCTTTCAGCCGGTCCTGCCACTTGGTTGTGCTTCACTGAAATGCTAAATCAAGATCTCCCTGTAGGATCATTTAACCAGAGACACCCTTAAGCGTTATGGTCCTGCTCAGCAGTTGAATATGTAAGAATTTTGTCACCCTAGACCAAAGTCATGTCTTTCAAGGTCACACTGAAACAAGCTTTACATATGTTTTTCTGTGAATGCATTTAGGTGTAAGTAATACATCCACAAGCCTTCTTCTAAATAAAACAGACAAAGGAAGTGAACTTCTCAATTTTAAATAATTATATAATTTTATATTAAATATGTCAAATAAAAAGAACTAATTAAAATGAGAAAAACATATATTTTTTTCCCAAATAACAAGGCTGATAAGATTATCTATAGGGACTTGTAGAAAGACAAAAATAAAGACTCTAAAAGTGACTAATTTATTTATCTTTATTGTTATTATTTTCTTTAATTCAAGTATTTTTACGCACCATCTGTATGATGAATTGAAATAGAAATGGTCAATCCTAGTTTAGAATTCCCCTTTACATTACAAACTGTTAAAGGTACACTCTAATCACCAAAATTATTTTGCATTTAGTGCATTGTCCAACAGTAGACATGTGCAATTCGTTTCATTCTGAATGTCAATTCGGATGAATTTCAGTCAATTCAGACATTCGTATACTTCCGAATGTCCGAATAGCTGAATTTTCAAAGTGCCGAAGTTCCGAAATTGCCGAAGTGCCGAAGTTCCGAAGCTCAGACTTTCCGAAGTGCTAATATACCCAGTGGAAGAATGAAGAATGTTACACTGTATACCAGTTTAAATAAAAAGTATACAAACATAGCCAGGATTCAGCTGTAAGCATTTGCAACACTAACAACAATCAAGTAACACATTCATATAAAATG